GTGTCCTGGCCCTCCCGCCCTCTGATCGCCATGGGGATTGCGGGCCACAGGCCAGCCAGCAACCCCGGCCCCCTGAGGTCCGGGGTTGCCCCCTGGCTTTTCGATGGCGATCACCAGCTAGGAGGTGGGGAAATGCGGCCTTTGCCCACCCCCCAGCTCTTGCCTGCCGCCTGGGTTGCCGATGGGATTGCGGGCCACAGGCCAGCCAGCAACCCCGGCCCCCTGAGGTCCGGGGTTGCCCCCTGGCTTTTCGATGGCGATCACCAGCTAGGAGGTGGGGAAATGCGGCCTTTGCCCACCCCCCAGCTCTTGCCTGCCGCCTAGGTTGCCGATCACCATTCTTTCGTCCTTCCCCGTTCGCCTCCCATCATTGTGCATATGCAAATTAACCGCCATCTTTGTTGGGAGTTAATTTGCATATCGCCCTGATTAGCCAATGAAAAGCGTGTCGGAGGTACAGTTAATTACCATGTTTGTCTATTATTAGATAGGATTGTTCAGGGTTTCAGCCTGGGGACTACGGCATTAACAGGATCCCCCACCACAGCACGTGGCTGAGAGGCTCCTGCTCCGCCCACAGGTGGCAGAGCCGGTGGAGCTGCAGATCCGACCCCTGGCCTGCCCTCCAGGCATCTGCCTGGCCAGTCCACCCGCTGCAGGAGCCTTCCCCTGTGATGCTCGGGAAGATGCCTCCTTTCTCTTAAGGACTCAGCTCCAATCTCTTCACAAAATGTCCTCTGAAAAGTATAATAGTTTGATCTGGATGACACCATCATCCTCAGAGTTACTATTTTAGAGTCCATATTTTTATCAAAGCCTTGATGAGCCCCAAGAGGAGGGTCCATATTTTAATTATATTTTAACCTCCCGAGCGTGGTTTAGTGCCTGGCATGGATTACACACTCCATGAATGGTTACTGAACTATTCATATGTTATAACAATTCTAAAGAGTTTGCCGCTGGAGCTACTAGTACTGTCTGCAAGGTTCTGAAGGCTCTAAGAGTCCTCTCCTGCTGCCACTGTGGTCAGTACGAGTTTGCTTGGGTTGCAAACATGAAGCCTTGCTGTGTCTGCAGACACCTGGAGTCATCACAGTGATGCTTTGAAGTGCAGTGTGGACATCGCTTCCAAAACCCACTCCGCATAGCAATCAGTTCCCGCCTCTACCTAGGGAAAGAGAAGAAAACAGATTTTGCAGCTTCTACTGATATTTTGAACAGACAGTTTTATCACTATCATCATTTCCACTTAAATTAGAAGTTTCAGATACTGTACAGATCAATTACTACTCCAAAGCATAAATTATCAAAAACAGTAAGCTTGACTATCACGTGATTAGGCAGTGAGAGGGTGTCATGTGATTGCCTGTGGGCGGCTCCTCAGGGCGGCCACCAGAGGAAATGTGTCAAAATGGCGATGCTATTGATGGAAGAGCTATTCAGCTACACCTTTGTAAACAGGCTATTTTAGAGTCCCGTGCAGGTCTGACTTCATGAAATATTTTTTTCTAAATATTTTGGGTAGAAATTCTGTTTGCAGATACACCATGCCCCATGTGCTGGTGTCGGGGGTGGGTCTCTGTGACATGCTTAGGTCCTGAGGGTGGCGCCCCCAGGAATGGGATCAGCGCTCTTCTTCACAGAGTTGCCTGGTCCCTCCCATCAGGGAGGCCACAGGAGCGGGCGCGGCGGCTGTGCAGGAGGAGCCCCTCACAGAACAGGACCATCCTGGAGGCTTGTTCCTGGCCGCCCCAGCCTCCAGCCTGCGAGAAAGACATTTCTGCTGTAGAAAAGCCACCGCGTGCAGAGTTGTGACTGCACCCCAAACTGACTAGGATCTGAAATACACTACGGAACGCACAGGAAGCAAGCTGTGCTTTGCGAATGCATTTAGATGGTGAAAACCGGCATTGTTTTACAGGTTCTAAAAAGCAACAATAAGCTTCCTATTCTGGCTTCAACTTTATATGTAATCTAATGCGCCAAAGCATAGTATTTAACTTAAATATACTTCAGTTAGAAGCTTACTGGGATTCAGAAAACTTAGTTTAAAATGTTTGGTCCATAAAATTTGTTATGGAAGATATTTCTATTTCTTTTTATGATACAAGACCCTAATAAAGAAAAAATGAATTGAAAGATTCAGTTGTCCAGTGTGAATATATGAGGAGGAAGGTCTTTATATGAGTGAGGCAGTGGGAAGCGTGTCTGTAGGACTGAATGGAGACCATCATAGTGAATTCAAATAACAAACTAAACAGAAATCAATCCATGCGGAAAGCCAGCTTTCTGAGCCGGAGTCTTTAATAAATGACCAGGGTGTCCTTGAGGTTCCTTGGGACGCTGGTCCAGTGATGTTCCCACTTGCCGAAGCCTGGAACAATCCCATTGTAATGCAGGCTGTCTCTCACTGTCTTATCCTGAAAGGAGAGGGCAATTAAAGATCATTAACCCTGTCACCCCTAAACCTTAAAACTTATAATTCCATAAACGGCAGGAATTCTGTAGAAAAACAAACAAAAAAAAGGAATACGTCTTAAAACTTGTAAAGATAGAATTTTTCACCTAAGCAAAATATATAGAAGATATGATTTATACACATTTTTATTTTTTAAAAAACTTCAAAAATTCATATCTATGAATTGTTTCTCAATGGAGCTAAGTTTTTTGGCATTTCAGAAACAAGGATGTGAGGAGAAATTGTAACTGAATTTATAGAGCATGTTTTTCCAGTTCTATATTCAATTCAACACTATTTGGTCTATGTGTTTAAAGCTACGCTGTTTGCAAGAACCTTAAAGTGCACTTTAGACGAGAGGGAGACAGGTGAACAACGCATTTCATGGCAGTTCAGACGGACCCGAGCCCTGACTGTCCGCCTGCCCTGGGCGGGCCACCCGCACGGCTGTACGACACTCTCCGGGTGGAAAGCTGGGGTGTGAAGATCTCCGAGGAACGAGGGAGACACAGGGCCGCCCACGTGGGATCTGTGGGGAAGCATGACGCTCAGGAAGGAACCCTGGGGAGGGCGAGCCACACACAAAAGCTCTGACCCCAGAGGGGTCTGACCAGGGCCAGGAGTGGCAGGGACATCACTGTCGCAGGGAACAGATCAGCCAGCACAGTCACCAAACATGGCCTCCAGGCACGTGACCCAGGGGAGCCAGAAAGCGTGCGTGTGGGATCCAGGATCCGTTCGGTTATTGTGAGCAATGCTGAGAAGTGATCGTTTCCCCCCAAATTTCTACGCTTCACTCCATTTTCCATCCTAGTGCTGAGGGTGAGCCCCTCTCCCGGCCCGGCCCTCTCTCCAGGCCTGTGCAGGGTGGCCTGTCCTCACTGTGCACCCCGAACGCCCGGAAAGCCAGGCCTCCCAGGCCGGTGTGAGGTCAGGCGTGCAGGTGCGCGGCCTCCCGGTCAGGAAGCACTCGTGTGTGTGCCTACTGTGTGCCTCTCGTCCGAGGGCTCGCACAGAGGCATTGCAGCGGGAGTTTGACCTTGGACTTGGCTGTGATGGGAATGTTCTCAGCATGAAAACTGGCAAATGCTACGAGCGAAGGCTGTTTGTGTGGGGAGGGACAGCAGCTCATTAAACACTGTCTAACACGATTGGGTAAGGCTCTGTAATGTCCATACGTTTCTCAATGGGTTCTCGTTCCAGTTTTTATGAATCATTTTTTGAAAGAGCTGTTCTGAGTACCTGCCGCGCTCAGGCTGCCGCTGGAGAGCAGGAGCAGGAAGCTGGCGGTCTCTCCAGTTGCTTCCTGTGTGGTGTCTACAGACAGGAAATGTGGGTGCCAGCCCCACAGGACTTTTCAACATGCCCAGGCACCCATCTCCCGACGCAGCCACACAGGACGAGGGACTCGCGGTGCAGGTCCGTGGTGACTCTGGCGCCGGAACAGGCGTCCTGCAGGACCAGTCGGATGCCAGGCGACGGGGCTTCCCAACAACAGCCCCTGCAGCAGGTGCTTGCACAGGTGGCAGACGGTCCAGATGTTAGACCTGGACACAAGCGAGGAGCTGCAGGTCCAGCTCATGAGGCTCCCGCAATAACGCCGACAAATCTGAGTCTCGTACAACCAGTCAGGAGCTCAGGAATCACTTTCTGAGTCAGTGTCTGATCGCAGGAAATAATTAAAGAAACAAGAGCTTGAGTGAAGGCCCTCGAGGCCCCACAGTTTCCAGGGATTCCCCCATAAAATCGGGGTGACATCAACAAAGTCATGGCACCTCCCTGCTGGGCCATGTCAGCGAGAAAACAGCTCCTGGCGGTATGTACACCTTCCTGCCTTCTTTCTTCGTCATCGCTGAGTCCCCGTGAGAGACAGGCCCGTGCCTGTCAGTCTCTCTCCCGTGTGGGAATGACAGTCTAGTTATGAAACATGCAGTAGCTGTGATTCAGGCGAAAGTGTTTCAGACAAGAGAGAACCTTAAGACGCTCCGTGGGGCAGGCGATCTTGGCAGGAGCAAAACTCATAAAGTCACATGCAAAATTTTAAAACCAGATTTGATTTCCTTTAAGGGAAATTGGAAAGTATGAAAATATTATTTACTTTTAAATGTTTGTGTATGGCATTAAGGAGATGGCCACATTTTACTTTAGAAAGAGCTAGAATTTAAAAGGAAAATGCTATGTATTTCAACAACAGGCGTAGTCTTAGTTGTTTAGTAAGTTTTAATATTTGGAGCAAAGCAGAGCCCTGTGGGAGCTGAACCATGGTCATTGGGGGAGGAATGGGGGCTGCCCAGGAGAGCAGACGCCTTCTGCAAGGTGCCTGCAGGCCCTGGGAGGGGTGTTTGACATGGGAATCCACCCCCTCTGTTTTGCTGCTCTTTCCTGAACAGAGGTAAGCATTCGGGGTTCTCCCGGGTCCCCACCTGCTCCCTGGCCCGGGACAAGCACAGTCCATGGCGCCTGCGGGGGCGGCCCTGGAGGCTCAGCCCAGCCCGCCAGGAGCTCCTCGGAAAACCAATACCCTAGTCTGGTGTGTGAGAGGCATTGGAGTGGGCTTGTTTTAAAGTAAGTGTCCTGCTTAAAATCTCTGCCTGCCACTCGCACTTTCCATTGGAGCTGCGGTGTCTCAGACCACTTCCTGCCACGTCAGCCAGGACGGCAAACGGAGGGGCCCTAAGGGCTGTCTGGTCATCACTCTGGGGTTTTCCTCTGGATCCTGGAGACTGTATCTCAGCGGAGCCGCTCTCTCCCGCTGTGCCTTTTTGTTTCTAAACACACTCACAGGCACAGGAGGAGGTGGCCACAGGGTCCCGCCCTGGGCATCTTGGAGGAGGCGCTGAACTAGCCCTGGAGGAGGCGGGAGGAAGGGAACAGTGAGGAGCTCCCCGCAGGCGGTCCGTCTCCCTCCTCCCCACGCTGAGAGCCCGCAGTGGGTGCCGCCTCCATCCTCATGTCCTCTCCTCACAGGTCACAGGCGAGGGACAGGGACGCCCGCGGCCCACCCCCCACCACAGCCCTGGCAGAGCTCCCTCCACTGCACAGAGCTCCCTGGACCGGAAACTGGGCAAAGGCAGGTTCCGTTCACTCCGTGTGACCTGGACAAGGCGCTCCATCTGGCCAGTCCTCACCTTCCGCCTCCACAAAATAAGGAAAGCAGCCGCCACAGGTAACGGGGCAAAGGATGCGACACGAATCAGTGGCTGAGCACAGGTGCCTGCTTCATGCACACGCTTCCCTCTCACTTTAGAGGGAAAACGTGGAGCCACCACAAACTGATTCCGCGTGTCTTCTACGAGCCAGGGCTCAGCTGTGAGGAACTAAAGAATCTATTTTTCAGTAGGAATGTTTTCTTTAACATCATTTACTGTAATTACTTTGTTTTCCTTGATAGCCATGCCCTGAAAAGACTATCAGCAGTTTAATTAACTCGTCGACCAGGGGAAGCGTGGTTCACTCTCCTGCACATTTTGTTGTCATATATAGTAACATACCTTGAAACTTTTCCATTCCTTTCGTAGTTCTTTTTGCAAATACTTATATCTGACATCCTCCTGCAAGAAAACATAAGAGTAGGTTGATTAAATGAGCCAACATGTATCCAGCTAGGTCGTATCCTGTACGGAGACCTGAATCACTGCCCTGATGGTCAGCACACCTGGAGAGTGACCCAGGGCGGTGGGAGAGTCGCCCAGAGCTGCTTGCTGGCAGTGAGGGGCGGTTCCCTTGTGCGGCAGCACAGCACACAGGCAGGCGGCTCGGGTCTCCCAGGCAAGCAGGGTCTTGAAACATAGTCCTAGGGCAGCTTTTAAGAAGAATCATCAGATATGTAAATAATTTAGTTACACTTATACACACACACATTCACACACAGTCTTTCCGGGTTTTCATCCATCTTAATAACAGTTCCATTTTGTAAAATAAAGAGCGATTTCTCTGGGACTGTGTCATTTAGCCGTCCACCCACTTGTTTTCTGTGTATGTCATCTCTTTGTTGTTATGTATTTAAATTCAAATTGTGAACATGATGAGTGAATACAGGTCTACCTATATGTTAAATAAATGTTTATAGATATAAAAAATTAAAACCAACAACTATCTTACTATTGTCCCCACGCACTTTTAGTTATCCTGTGTAGAAGGGTATTTTCACACTTTAGGACAGGATTAACCACATGGACAGAAACACAGATTGCTTACGCAGAAAAGACTGCACCACTTAGTGTTCCAACTATTCTTCTCGAAACAGGTTATAGGACCTTCCAGCCCATGTATGATCAAAACAATCAAATGATAGCAGATCTGATTTCATACATTATGACATAGAATGAGGATGTTTAAGCCATTAAATGTACAACAGCTCATTTTTCTTTTCCAATATGGACTTTGACATCAAATAGTAAGTTTCCAGTTGTTCTATATGATGAACAATAAGTTGTTACAGTTAATAAAATAATCAAATAAACAAATTAATAGAGAGTAAGTCACAAGGATTTTTCATTTTCATGGAACACCTATGAGTCACAGTGCACTGGGCATCGCCAAGACCTCAGTAATTCAGCAGCACACGAGGTTCTTACCTTGTCTATCACTTATGTTTTTATTCAGATTCAGAAACATCAATGTACAGTGATTCCTGGGGGATGAATGCTGTAGAACATCACTGTGTTTTTATTGGTGGATGTTGAGAACCATGCCTGGGAAACCATGCCTCCCCGTGTGCCGAAAACCTCAGGAAGAAACAGTGCCACCGCTTTGCTGGCATTGCCCTCGCTCACGGGGAGCCCGCCGAGAGCCTCACGCGTGTCCCAGCCACTGGCCTGCTGCCTGCCCCTCTGAATGAAACATCTTTCAACGGAACAGAAAGCAGATGTTCGACGTTAGTGTAGCCGATGTCCAGGGGACACACCGGCCATATGCAGGAGTGAAGGCCTCGCCCTCCCCTCTGCGTAGGAAGTGCGTAAG